CAATACAATGGTTACTTTTTAAGAACTAAGGATTGAGAATATAATATGTGCTAGTGAGCATGGCTTTGCTATTAGGTGCTGTCAAACAAATATGGTTTGTTTTGTTGGGGGATGATAGGATTGCTTGCTGAAAGTAACATGGTTAGGTCTTTGTAAAGCATTGTGGCTTCTCATATGGAAGTGATTTGGTCTTAGAGCAGGGATAAAGTTTCATGGGCTGAAGTCAGACTTAACTTCCACAGGTCTTTTATGGCTTCACGTCTTGCTTGCATCTTTCTTACTCTGTAGATCGTAGAACAGATCCCTCTGTTCATTGCTACAGACTGAAATTATCTCGTTAGTGTGGGCAAATAGCTGAAGGGAGGGTGTGAAGAGCCAGGCTCTTTTCAGTGACAGGACAAGAGGCAATGAACACAAACTGAGACACAGGAGGTTCCCTCTGAACATCAGGACACACTTTTTTAAAAGAGGGTGACTGAGCGCTGGCACAGAGTTGGTTGTGGACTCTCTGTCCTTGGAGATATTCAAAAGCCATCTGGACATCGTCCTCGTCTGCTGGCTTCATGTGGACCTGCTTGAGCAGAGGGCTTGGACCAGCTGCCCTCCAGAGGTCCCTTCCAACACTAAGCAGTCTGTGATTCTGTGGGATTATGCAAAGATGGAAGTCTCTGAAGACTCAACATCAGGCTATAATTATTGTTTGAATGTCAGATATCTGTTTCGCTGCTGTGGATGATAAAACATTATGCAATTCAAATTAGTGTAATCATCTTTAATGTCTTTATGGGCAAAATGCAATTTTATTTCTTTTTTTTATTTAAGTTCACCCTAAGTGATAAGAGGCTGTGTGTGATACTGGTGAAGTACTGTAATGCCTCTGAAGTCCCAGATGGTTACCAGCTTGCAGTGTGCTTGGCAGAATGACAGATAGAGTTCTTTGAGGAGAAGACTGAATGTAAGAGAGAGAGAGAGAGAGGGTACAAGAGGCTGTTTCAGAGGACACGCTGAAGAGAAAACAAAGAGAATGGAACAGAACTGAGGAAGAGGCCAGACTTCCAAGAAAAACATATCTTGCTGGTCTAACAGGGTAAAGATGTAGTTCTGGTTTGGAGATTTACCAAGGAAGATGTTTATGGAAACCTTAGTGTTAAGAAGTTCATGTATGTGCTTCTGAAGTTAATTTATCTCCTGTTATGGAGACATATTTTTCAGTCAATTAATAAATATCCATTTATTTTTAGTATCTTTGATTTTGGTTGCCAAACTTGAGACTTGTGGACACAGATACTTTTCATTTATTTGCTGGTCTCATTTACTTCAGTTGAAGAAGTTGAAGGAGGCAGTTAACGTATTTAAAATGTAGCTGCAAGACAAATGCCAATTCATCGTCTCTAAATACTGTAGGAGCATGAAAGAAACGTGCAGCATGCCCTAGTGCCTTTTCTTTAGTCTTTTCCATTGGAAACACTGGTGTTATGTCAGGGGGCTGCAAAATGATTTCTGAAGGCTATGTGATCAGTGTCACCATCCTGTGGCTGTTTTGTTGAAGCTGTAATGGCAGGTACCATTGACTGCTCTAACCTGCATCAGTGGCTGGTACAGCGTAAAACATCATCTGGTGTTGCCCACGTCAAAAATAATGAGAAGAGCCGAAAAGCATGTTTGGTCAAGAAAAGGATGAAGGAACTGGAGTTGTTTGGTGTAGAAGCCAAAAAGGAGATGCAGGTTTTAAAACATGTAAAATTTGGCCACCTAGAATTTGGCTACAAAGCTGAAGGAAAACCTGCTCTGTGAGTGGGCTTTGAAGAGGTCAAAACTAGAAGTCATAAATTGCAACAAGGGACATACAGACTTTAGAAAGAATAATCTTTTTAATGCTAAAGGTAGTAAAACACTTGAACAAATTATTTTGGGATCTTGTGGAATCCCAGTTGGAAAGATTGAGCAAATATTGCGTTAGGAATGATAGAAACAGTTTTTCCTAACACAGGCAGGCAGAGGGCAATTTTGCAAGTTATGTTTTTTCTCTGGTTTGAAGACATAAGCGCAATATAAAATCACCTTCGAACTTTAGGAATGTTGCACAGATTGCTGTTCAAATGTTGCATACACTTTTTAAAAAAGGCTGGATCAATTAACGTAGTATTATCTCAAAATATCTAATATTGTTGTGGTTTTGTCTAACACTTTATTTAGCTTCTGTTCTCACTTCATCTAGAAAAAATAAAATTAAAAAAAAATCCAGTTGATTCCTGGGAACCTGGCTTGGAGATGCATACGTACCCTGCATGTTGTAAAAGGATTTTAGCAATACACTTTTTTTACAGTTATGGTGCAAAATAATTTTAATGTAGTTTTTTCTTTTGCATATATGCCAGCCTTATTCAGAACCTTTACTATCTTTCTTTTTTTGTTCTTGTCTTGCCTTCTGAGGCGTTGAATGAAGACTAAAAAGTATCTCTGAATACAGCTCCTTGCTTAACTAAAGACTAAAAAGTGTCTCTGAATATAGCTACAGATTCTTAAAATAGCAGATAGTGTTGGAAATTAAACTATAACTTTTGAATATTTGAAGTGAATCAAGACATAATTATGTGTGACCTTCTTCACTGTTATACTTATTTCATTACTAACAAGTAGGCTGTTGTCACATCAAAAAAAATGCTGAATGCAGTAAAAAATGTTTCCAATTAAGCTGTATGTTAGCGGGAGATCCGCTATGGAAGACCTAACTGACTGACTTGCCAAGGATAAATCATCAACAGAAGATCAGCGCTTTCATGCCCTCTTCTACTCCTACCCCTAAAAGGTTAATAGAGTAGTCATTTTAAAGTATGTTTGAAGAGGTAAGTGCACATGCTTGGGATTCCTGTTTGTCAAACAGCAGAAACTCTGTGAGACCTTAGGGCTAGGGTGAGACGGCAGGTGCTGAGCCCCGGTCACGAAGAGGCAGTAACTCCTAGGTGGCTGCTGCAGGCAGCTTTAAAGAGGCTCAAGGGGGTCCTAATGTGGATAACCACACTCAAATGATTAAAAAGGTGCCTTATTAGATCTAAGTTACGCATAATGTGGATTATCAAAGGCTGCTGCTTTCATGGATGTATAGGGAAAAAAGACTTAACGAAAGGATGGGTACATATTGTCAGAATATTGGTTTAAATTGTTGCGGTGAAGGAAGATGTTTTGATATTATAACCTCTTTTAAATTCTGATGTGATTTTTGACAGGAAGAACCCTGTCATTTTCTTTTCCACCATAGCACCAGTGGATGGTAGATGAGCTCTTCAGAGAGACTGTTAGTGAACTGAAACCAGTTCCTTTTATATATTAGAGTTGTTACTGTTGACTCTTTTTATTTGTTTTACTTTTCCTCTGCTCTGTTTGTTGAAAGTTATTGATTTCTCAGCATTAGGAACACAGCCCAAAAAAAATGTTCTTCAGACTTGGATTCATTTGGTAAACTGCGTTGAGATAATTATCTGGTTAGCAACAGATTAACATTTTACAGTCCTGCTTATTGTGGCAAGATTTACTGGCAGCTCTTACAAACATCATGCAGATCCGACTCTGATCTTTCTGTAGTCTATTGGAATATTTTCTTTTTGATTCTAGAACTCTGTTTTAAATAGAAGCATCTCACGGAGGTCCTTATTCCAAGACTGAGTCCTGGTTTCATGCTGCTGTTTCTTTCCAACTAAAGCTTATTCAAGCAAATTGAAGTTTCTTACGGGTATTCATCTCCTTGGGAATCCCTGAATCAACAGAAGTTTGCAGCAGCACAGGGCAGCTTTTCAAAGCCAGGCAGCTTTTATTTGTCAGCCACAATGAGGTGTTTGAGCATGTCCTTGGGTGACGGTAGAAAAGTGAAAGTCTTGCAGTTGTGGTCATGGTCGGTGCATCTCTGCTTCTCTGATCCCAGAAGAGCCTCCGTCCTTCTGAACGGGGTAGCAAAGCTCTCATCGCACTGTCCAGATAGTCTTGTTTTTTGTTTCAGCCTGCAGTCACGTCTTTTTCAGCTACTTGTTCGCAAGCGATTGTTAAAAATTTATGTGGCAGTGTTGATGTTGCCGCATGTCTTTAGAAGAATCAAAGCTCAGGTGCTTGCTCATGTTTTGACCTTTCTTAAGTGGTTATATGCAGTAGCCCAGGTACTGTGCTCCCTTGTTCCCTGGTTTGTATCATCCTACAGCGATTTGATAGAAAATGAATGTATGACCTGAATCCTACACAATTTTTATGACAGCAATACAGTGTTTCTCTATAATACATGAAACAACTCCCAATCCTTTATTGTCCATAGTGCTATTCTTTTATGGGAAGGGGTTTGTAGTACAGAATGTTTTTGTTACTTTCCTGGTCCCCCACTTTCTCCTTGTTAACGCTGTTGTAAAGGAGTCACAGTAAAAGATTGCTGTATCCTAAACATCCTGACTGGTTTTGGTTTAATGATTGCCATTCTTTGACAATAAAGACTATCCCATGGCACCTGTGCATACGGATATACGGATAATACATAAAACATCCTAATTTAGAGTAGGCCTTTACTAGACCGGAAATGTGAAGAAGGAAATACTTAACTAGTAGTGGGTTACTTTAGGCCACCTGTTTTTACTTCTAGTTACATTATAACAATACATTATCACAGCAGAGCATCCCCACAGAACTTTTTGGGAACTCTAAACTGTGTTTCTGCTGTGTGTTGCTCTTCTTTTTGCTGTGTAGAGATACATATGGATAGAAAAACAAACACAGAGTGTTATTTAGCGTGAACTTCAATTTTTAGATTCTGTGTCATCTTTCAGTTAGTAGAATTATCTTTGTATCTGGTACCTCCTGTATTTTCTTAGTTGATGATTACAATGCACTTGAAGTTTGTTTTTCTGTGTGAAATGACAATAAAGAGAAAGCCTGAGTTTGTGAAGTGTTTTTCTTTAATTAGAAGATGAGAATTTTCTGTAGATGTCTGGCTGTTGAAAATGCTATGACTCACTTCGCTTTACAGGGGATTTTGAGTCACTAATGTAAAACACAATATTGTCAAATGCATTATGGATGTCAGACAAATTTATAACATTTTATAACATTAGGGTTAGTTTCATTTAGATACAGATGCTTGTATGCTTACCTGTTATTTCCAAGAGATGAATATATTGAGTCCTGAACCTGTTCTTCTTAAAAAGGGTATTTGTGTATGCCAATGCAGAGTAGTGTAGTAACATATTTTCTTAATATCAGACTATTTGATGTGAATGGTTGCTATTTCTGTGAAACCTCAGCTATAAAAATCAGAATGATTGATGCAAAGTTTGTTAAATCAAGACCAAGTTTAGCAGATTTTTAGTTAAGTCAATTAAGGTAAAGTACTTTCACTATTTTCATTAATAGGCTTATTTAGCTTTTGGAGTGAATAGTGAGGTTAATAGAATAGAAAATTACTTCCTGAACTAAGTATAATGTTTTATTAGCTATATTTTAAATGAATACTCTCATTCCTTAAAAAAAACATAAAATGCAAAAAAATAGTCGTATTAGTTTGGAAGACTGGCTGTTACATACTTCCAATTTCTTTTTTAGGTTTGTAGGTGGAGAGCTGAATATCTGTTACAATGCTGTAGATCGTCATGTTGAGAATGGACAAGGAGACCGAATTGCCATTATTTATGACAGTCCTGTAACAAATACCAAAGAGAAAATAACGTATAAGGAACTTCTTGAACAGGTATGTTTGAGAATAAACTCATTACTGAAAATAGGCAGTAAATATTGCACAGCAGATAGATGCTAGAGAGGCAGAAATGGTCTGCCTTGCTAGTTTATTCCTTTTGCTGTGCTCAGGATTGATTTATAAACTTCACTACCTGTACCCAACTATACTGCATCTAAGAAGTTTGATCTTCCTCTAGTTCTGCATTTTCTTCTCCAGTTTAATTTTTTTTTTCCTGGTTGGTTAAGTTTTGAATTTTCTTTATTAGGATTTTT